GGCGTCCAACCGGGCGGGCGAGCGCGCGCTGCTTCTCGCACGTGACTGTGCGCCCGCGGCCCCAGCCGTCCAGTTCCGGCCCCGCCGCGCATGGAGCCGCCCACGTTCGTGCAGATCTTCAAGGACCAGCACGTGGCGACCGGCACGGACGCGCTGTTCCAGTGCATCATCGATGGCAAGCCCAAGCCGACGGTACGGCCAAAGGAAACCCGAATCCACACCTTACGCGTCACCGTAGGTGGTGATCTGTGCCGTGTGGAGTGCTTAGGAATCATGCTGAATCGCTTTCGCCGGCCGCGTTGTGTTGAAAGCAGCTGTTGGGTTCTGCAGCCTTTGGGGGTGAGCGTCACATGCTGGCCCACCGCCATTAGTGCTACGCCTTTGAGTAGAGCAGCGAGAACTTTGCGTGTGATGCACACTCTAGCGATTTCAATTCACTGTTCTCCGCCGTGATCTCGCTCGACCTGACACTGCTGGAGGCGTTTCCAGGTGCAGTGGATGTTCGAGGATGGCGCTCTGCCGTCGGACAAGTTCGAAACGCAGTCGGAGGGCCAGCATCACATGCTGAAGATCCGCTCCACGGAGATGGGCCACAGCGGCCGGGTCAAGTGTGTGGCCGAGAACGAGATTGGCAAGGCCACGTGCGCCGCACACCTATCCGTCGAAGGTACGTCGTACTCGGACGAGCTTCGATGGGACGGCACCATGCGTGCGCAGGAATATTCATTACTGTTTCTAGTTGTATGATCGTAGTTTCCGTGCGCTTTTCTTGGATTTTCCCCTGAAATTTCGTCGTCGTGATTAGAAGAATTTGTTGTTAAGCGTCCTCAAATTAGAGGCTTTATCATAATCTTGGGTTTTGATCGTGCGCTTGAATCTGTCAGTCCGTTTTCACTCCCCTTTCGACAGAGCCCGTGACCGACATTTCGCTGCCTGTGACGGAACAGCGCATTTCCACCGGGTCCAGCAAAGAGTCCTCCAAGTCCTTCGCTCTGAAGAAAACCATGTATACCGAAGTACATGAGCAAACCCAGGTACGTCTCACTCATCAGCGCTTACACTGCCTGCGATCCTGAGAATGTTCCGGCGTGCTTGTTGATTTTTTGAAATCGATACGTCGTGCGGTCATATGGCTCTGTGGCCTTCAATGCAGCCGGTCAGTTTATTTTTGCTGATCTGGCATCGATATTACTGACGACATCGTGCTGAAGATGCAATCCCCAGAGGCCTCCTTATAAGTGTCTCCGGTCTCTCTGAGCATCACATCAGGGTTGTCCGTGTTGGTTGAATGCTGTTCGTGCTGCTTCATTATTGCTCGCGTCTCACGTCCCGTTCTGTACGGTAAACTTAAACGCAAACTATGCTTGTGATTTACAGGTTGTCAACGGTGACAAGAAGCCCAAGCACGACGGGTTGGAGGAGCAGAGCCAGGAGGTTCACTCCAGTGTGACGGCCCCCTCGGACCAAAAGGTAACGTTATAGGAGGACGCGTACACACCATATCAGCCCAGCCCGACCCGATGACGCCACCCATGGAACTCTGCATTTCTGTTTCATTTGGCTCCGGGCGCTTCTAAGACGCACCGGGACTTGCCAGTCTTCCAGTCTACTCCGTGGGTGTGACTGTAGTCTCCTGCCTGGGTGTGACTGTAGCGTCCTGATCATTGAATACCCTGATCACGAGATCTAAGTCGAATAGCGTTACAGGTTATAACGCTGCGGTGAATGGAGTTAAAACGATTATTGCAGCTTCGTTGTCGACTTGTGCCGCCCCATCCCTGCATTTGTACAACTCTCCAACAACCAGGTTAACTCCGTTTACACTGTTATCTCTCCCCTCCACTGTTGCTCGTACTTTTATCCCTTCCCTTCACTGTTGCTCGCACTGTCATCCCTTCCCTTCACTGTTGCTCGCACTGTCATCCCTTCCCTTCACTGTTGCTCGCACTGTTATCCCTTCCCTCCACTGTTGCTTGCACTGTCATCCCCTCCCTTCACTGTTGCTCGCACTGTCATCCCTGCCCTTCACTGTTGCTAGCCCTGCCATCCCCTCTTTCCACTGTTGCGTGATGACGTGGCTGACGCGTCACCTCCCGCGTGCCGCGCACCACATTTCGCATCAGCGGGTCTCTCCCGGCTGGCAGATGCTGCGAACCACGTACGAAGAGTGTCGTCAGGACCGGAACCAGCAGCGGGTGGAGCGGCGGCCGGCCAAGCCACCGCGCTACCTCACACCACTGCAGGGTGTGCTGGTCAAACAGGGCGACACCGTCAACCTGGAGGGAGTCTACACAGGTACGACCCGGCGCAGCCGCGGGGGCACTGGTGCTGGACAGTCCGATACAATGGTACACAGATACGATACACCGTGGCCGTTGGGCACTGGTCCTGGGCAGTCCGGTACAGGGCGCACAGGTACGACACGTCTCGGCCGGGGGTCACTGCGCTGTGCAGTCCGATACAGCGGTACACAGATACAACACGCCTCGGCCGCGGGTGTTGAGCGGTGAGCAGCCTGGCGCAGTGCGCCCGGGCTGGGCAATGTGGTGTGCAGCGGGTCACGGATGGGCTGTTCGACCTCTGCGTACGGGAGCTGGCAGTGCGGCTCAGGAGCACACCGGCGCGACACCCGCCCCGAGATAAGCGCTTGCTGCACAGTCAGGAAAATGACGGCGACCGTTCCTTCTTGAGGCGTTTCGGAAGGGACGCGGGAGTGCTCGCGTCGACGCTGCAGCGCGGCCTGCCTGACGCCGGCCGGTCCGCCGCCGGCAGGCTCCCCGCCCCCGGACGTCAAGTGGTTCAAGAGCGGTGTCGAGCTGGCGCCCGGCGACCGCGCCGTGACCTCGCACGACCAGAGCCGGGTCACGCTCACTCTGGAGCGGGTCACCGAGGAGGACGGCGGCCGCTACACCTGCACCCTCAGCAACCCGGCCGGCACGGCCACCAGCACCGCGGACATCGTGGTGAAGACGTGAGTGGCCGGCCGTCTGGTGAGAGCAGGGAAAAGGTCACGGTCGAGTGCCGGTCGATCAGGACAGGGCAGTGATCAGGAGAGAGCAACGGAGTGTCATGGAGAGCATAACCACCGTCAGGAGTGATCAGGAGTCACTGAGAGGCAGGGCCAGTCTCAGGAGCGAGTAGCGAAGTGAGTTCGCTGGAACAACAGGACAGGTGTCGGGTGTGTAGCTCGGTCTGATCAGAGTTCGCGTAGTCAGGCCTGGTCTTCAGACGGGTGTCCTCCCCGGGCTGCGGTGCTGCGTTCTTCCGCCGACTGGTTTGTGCTGTCGTTTTGGGGTCTGAGCTGTGCGCCCGCCGAGATGTTGAACATCAAGCACCATGTTCGTCCCGAAGCCGATGTTTGTCTGCCGACGGCGCTGACCGCCGTACGGCCGTGTCCTCGGCAGAGACCGTGTTCCCGCCGGTGTTCGACCACCGACTGAAGGCGCAGGTGGCCCGGCGGGCCAGCGGCTCTTCTTCGAGGCCACCGTGAGCGGCACGCCGCAGCCGGAGGTGGTCTGGACCAAGGACGGCCGGCCGCCCGACACTCAGCGCACGACCGTCAAGCGGGAGGGCACCCGGCACATCCTGGCCATCGAGAACGGTCAGAACTGAGCCTGCCTTCACTGGCCAATGGGATGCCGGCTAAGGTGCTCTCGTTGGTGGTAGCCGGATATATCGAACAACAGGCCGGGTTGTCATATTGTGAGATAATCTGTTGACTGGTTTGCAATTTACGAAAGCATCAGCGTGCTCCTTCGTCTTGCCCGATGTTGACACCGTATCAAACAAAATCAGAATTGGAATTGAGTTTGCTCTGGAGATAATTTGGGTTTTCAAAATATTTTATTTTCTTGTTATTGTCATGCTGTTGCACCGTATATTGTATTGTTGGTCCCCTTCCCAAGTAAAACATACACGGTAGGTAACAAAAAAGATTCGGACTAACGTAGGACAGAGACAAGATGTAAACAGCATGTTGCCCACCCTCTTTAAATGATCAGATTTCGTGTCCGTTCTGCGCGCTCCGACATGGTGCCAAGATTTTTCCCCGGATCATAACCGCTGTACACGTACTTGGAGGCCCGTCCCTTGAAGCTGACGCCGGGCTTGGTCCTTGAAGTGGGCGCTGCAGCCGCAGCCGGCGCCAGGCGCGTAAGCCGCCGGGGACGGGATGGCCTCCTGCTCCCGTCCTCCCATGTCGCGGTGCTTGATCCTGAAGCGTGAAGTCTGGCGCGCGCGGCAGCGGCAGCCGCGGCAGGTAGGCGTTCGGTCCCGGCCCGCGCGCCGGCCGCCTTGCCGGCGGTCGTGAGTTGAGTGTGAACCCGCGCCGCGTGCTGACCTCCATCCGCGGACTGTAGGCGTTCGGCGCCGGCGTCTGGTCCGGGGGGCGGCGGCGCGCGCGCCGAGGCTGAAGGCGGGCCGGCCGCGCGGCCCCCGCGGCACGCTGTAGCTGGCCGGTCCGGGGTCGGTCGGCGCCTCCCTGGCGCCGCCCCACGGCGCCGGCCAGACTGTAGGCGGGGGCACGCCGCTTAGGCAGCTTCTCCGGCGAGTAGGCGCCCGGTCCGGGCGTGCGGAATTCTAACTCGTTCTCGAAAGGCCTGAACGTCAGCTCCGGCGCGCGCCGCGGGTTCTTGGGCGTCTTGTAGGCGTTGGGTTGCCGGCATCTCGGGCGGCTTGCCGGGTCTGGGGAGCACGCCGATGATGGGCGCGTGCACGGCGGGTTCCACCGGCTCTGGGTCGTACGCGTCCGGCCCGGGGTGTTCATCATCGGCGTGAGCGGCTGTGGCCGGTAATGCAGGCTGTAGTGCGGCCCCGGCCGGCGGCGGACGCACGTTCCACGCGCCGGCGCCGGGCCCGTCGGTGCGGTGCCGCGCCGGCAGCCGGTCGTTGAAGCGGAAGCGTGGCGCCGCGGGCAGGTGCGCCGTCACCGGGTCGTACGCCGGCGCCGGCGTCTTGGTGAAGGAGGTGCGGTCGAGCTGGGTTGGGCAGGCCGACGCTGGCGGTGGGCGGGCGGCCGGCTCTTGAGGCTGGTGCGCGGCGGCCGGCGCGCCACGTCCCCGCGCGTCACCAGGTGCACGGGGCCCGGCGAGCTGTCGTAGTCAGGCCGCTCCAGCTCGCGGCTTCAGCGTCGTCAGCAGCTGGTGCTTGCACTTTGGCATCCGGACGTTGTAGGACGCCGGGCTGGCGCCGTCCTGTTTCGCGGGCGCGGTCTCCGCGCCGCGACCCGTAAAGTAGAAGCGGGGCGCTGTGTGCATGTGCACGTTCATGTCGGGCAGGTCGTACTCGCTGGGGCCGGGTGTGCCGGCGGTCAGGCAGGTCAGCGGCTGACCGCCGGGCGGGGGGACGTACTCCCCCATGGCGTCGCGGTACCCAACCGGCTCGGGCTCACCAGCCGTCGCCATGATAGTCAGAAAATTATGGATGCTCAACAAGGCATTTGGTATTGAATGATATTAAGAGAGCAGTTTAACACGTTTTGTCTGAAGTTACATTCTATTCCAAATTTTGTCCCCAGCTCAATGAAATGGTTTCCCCCCACCTAGTCCCTACGCATGTCCGGTTTGGCGGCCTTGTTTTTTGTCTCTTTATGGAAGCTACAAATGGAAACTGGAAATTTCGCTTAGAGGTACGTGCAGAAGATAACAGCTCCCACCTCCGTTGTGAAAACGTCTTATAATGCGCATCTCTCACTAATACAGCACCTGGACTGCCCGACAGCGCAGTAACGTGAACTAGTCCTGATGACCCAGCACCACCTGCCGCGTGTTGCAGTGACCCCCGCCGACGCTGGCAAGTACAGCATCCAGGCGACGAACGCGGGCGGCGAGGCCACCTCCATCGCCGACCTGGTGGTGTCGGACGAGGTGCCGGTGCTGGTGGAGCGGCGCCTCACCACCCAGGACCTGTCGGAGCGCGAGGTGAGCTGCCGGACCGTCCCCCCGTCTAGGTGTTATTGCGCCGTGCACCCGCACCGTGCACCCGCACCGTGCACCCGCGCAAGGCGCCCGCACACGACACACCCTCACATGGCAGGTGTGCTGCGCTCTGTACAGACCCCTGCGGTCTGCACGGTCTCGGGCGGGAGGGAGCTGAGTACAGCAACACGTTCATTGCACAGGTCGTGGTCGTGTTCAAGTGGTGAACGAACGGTGGATGTTACCTCCGCGTCCGAATGCCTTCTGTTATATTTTTTGGTTGGGGTTCGTGATACGTAGAAAGCACGGGAATACGGCTTCGTTGCCTTATGCCCCCTTTTATTTATTCAACGTTTGTGAGATTTCATCACTGCAGAAAAGTGGTGAACAGGTGGGTACGGCGTGGATATCTGCTCCATTGAGTAGCTGTTTGGCTGCTTATGAGCGGACAGCACAGGGCACTTGGGTCGTGGACACACTCGGTTGAACATGTTGGCGGAAATGTACATAATCATGTTTTGTCATGCCGAGGGGCCCGCGCTTCGGTGCAGCATCTTATGTACATTTTTCTGTGCATCGTGGTCTTCAGGAACTGAGCCACCGCTTTGGGCATCTGAATAAAGCTTTCTTTACTTCTCGCTTTTTGTCGGTCTTTGAAAGGAAAGGACATAGTTGCTGGTCGTAACATATGTCACAGATGATTGTAGACGTAACTGATTTGAGCTGTTTGTGCAATGTATGTGTTCCTTTTGTAGTGGTCCGTTTTTCAGTCGCCAAATTTAGGCGTCATCATGTAGTGCCAGTCACAAAGTTGCCGAGTGGCGTATCGCACTGGTTTAAAGTTGATAAACATTGAATGTTTAAAGCGACGCACGTCGATTTCGAGTTCCTTCACGTCGCTATTTTCCTTTCCTATAAGTCATCGACTGTAATGTTCCTGACGTTTGAGACCGTTCTGGTTTTGGTATGGCCATCGTTCACTAGTATGCGTCCAGTGCATATTTTTACGACCAGCAACTGTCATCCGCTGCTGTTGGTGATGGTGGTGGCGGAAGGGGCGGTAGTGCGTTCCGTGGTGTCTGCCTGCACTGTTCAGCACTCGCACTGTTTGTGAAATGCAACGCCATGTTTCCAGAGCACCCATTTCTGGTGAGACGAAGTGAACACTGCACACCTTTGGCTCATCGAAAGGCACTGTCTGTGTCGCACTCACACTCACAGCTTCTAACCATTCTCATTTTGTATTTTCCTTAGTATAAAGCGACGCTAGAACGAAACTCAGCGGTCTCGAAGGCGGCTGAGCCAGCGACGCAGCCTCCAGCGACGGTGCAGCCCCCAGAGCCCCTCCCACCCGTTCCGCAGCCCCAGCCCGCTCCTTCCGGGGTCAGGCAGGCCATCTCAAAGATCGAGCAGACGCATCAGTCCAGCTCGTCGGAAGTGGTGCGGCACCCGCAGCCGGCCGCGCCAGCACCGAGGACGGTCCGGTCGCCGTCGCCGCCCCCCCGCCAGCAGACCCGTTCCACGGACGCCACGCAGGTGCAGAAGGAGCAGCGCATGGTGACGAACAAGGTGACAGTCGACCTGCGCGACGCCGCACGGCCGGAGCGGCCCGTGGAGCGAGAGGCGATCCCCGACACCCGGGCGGCCGTCACCGAGGGCAGGCAGGCGAAGGAGTCGAAGCTGGTCCAGCTGTCGGAGATCGCGGCCATCCCGCAGCCGCCGCCGGCCGGCAGGGCCGACGTGTGCATGCCGAGTGCGCCGCCCGACCGGGTAGGAAAGCGAGTTGATGAAGTGCAGGAGAACGTTACCAAAACCAAAGAGGAGAGGATCGTGACGATACCCAAACTGACGCCTGTAGTGCCACCGAAGCCCAAACCACAGCCGGTGAAGAAAGTTGTCGAGATTCCCCCGGAGGCGAAGCCAAAAGCTGAGCCAATTCAGCGCCCCCCTGAACCCGTCCCAGTGCCATCAGATGTAGCGAAGACCACGAAGAAAAGCCAAGAGACGGTTATTAATCAGACGAGGGAAGTTACACAATCGACGAAGACGGAGGTGAAACGCCCCCCTACAAAAGAGCCGCCGAAGGTCGCGCCGAAGCCAGTCGCTCCCCCGCCACGCGTAGAGCCTAAGAAACCAATAGAAGTCCCTCACAAGCCTGTGTACTCTGCTCTTTATAAGCAGACCTCAGCGGAGGAGGCTTACACGACAGAAGAGCAGCAGGCTCAGAAGCCAAAGGCCGTACCGGTTCAGCCGACAACACATACCGGAACTGACCTTTATCAATTCCCGCAGACACCTGTGGCCGCCGCTGAGCCGCCCCGCGGTACCTGCCTCCGCCCCTGTTCCCAAGGTCGCCCCCAAACCGAAGCTGACGCCTCCTGCGCCGACTCCGTCTCTGACGTACGTGTCCCACACCGGCCCGCCCGAGCACCAGCAGTACCCGGCACCGGCGCCCTCCCACACGGACCACACCTCCGTGTCCCGATCGGAGACGACCACGACTGAGGAGCAGGTGACCAGCGTCACCAGCGTCACCTCGCGCCAGCAGCAGGAGCGGCCCGTGCCAGAGCCGCAGCAGCAGCGCCCCCGTCCGCCTGGGAAGCGGCTCTCCGACATCAAGCGGCTGATCGAGACACAGATAGAGGAGGTGGAGACGAACGGCTCGTCGGCCGAGCTGCGCGGCGGCGTCTGCGTGCTGCCAGTACGCACGCCGGACACCGAGCCGCCGGAGCCGACGGTCAGCCCGCCGCGGCCGCGGCCGCAGTCGGCCGCCGCTGCGCCCTTCCAGCCGTTTCCTGACCTGGAGCCGTTCCCGTACGAGCCTGAGCGGCCGCGGCCGGCGTCGGCGCGCGCGGTGCACCCACCCCCCACGCCGACACGCTTCGTACCGGGCCGCTTCAGCGAGACCGACTACGAGAGCGACTTCGACGAGCGCATCCCAACACGCTGGCAGGCGGATGGCTACGAGTACATCGACCGGCGCGAGATCCAAGTGAGCTTGCCGGAGGCGGCGGCGCGGCCGGCGGCTCCGGACGCCAAGCCGCCCACGCCGCCGTCGCAGTTCGACACGCCGCCGCAGGTCGCGCGGCCGCCGCGGCCGCACGTCGACCTGGCCGCGCCGGTGGCGCGCGCGCCTGAGCCGCCGGCGGAGCGACCGCGCTTCACCAAGAAGACGCCCTTGGAGACGCCCTGGGTGCCGGTGAAGCGGGAGCGGGAGGTGGCGGCGCCGCCGCGACCGGAGCCGCCGCCGCCGCCGCAGCCCGTGACGCCGCAGCGGCCGGTGAGAGAGGCGGTGCAGCAGTGGCCGCCGCCGCCCGAGCAGCCAGACGCGGAGAAGGTGGCGCGAGAGACGCGCGAGGAGACGGTAGAGAGCGTCTCACAGCTGGAGCAAAGGACGTACAAGAAGCCGGCCTGGCCGCCGGCGCCGACCGTGCCGGACGGCGCTGCGGTCTCGGCGCCGACTCGGACGTCAAGGACGTCCGAGACCACCGAGAGCATGATGAAGCGGACAGAGGAGACGCAGCGGACGCAGCTGGGTGCGCCTCGGCCGCTGGTGCAGCCGACGGCAGTGCGGTCCGGCCAGCAGCAGAGCTCGCACACCGCCAGCAGCTCGGCCAGCCTCCACTCGGAGCGCACCGAGGTGCAGCGGCCGGCGGGCGCGGCTGATGGTCCGGCACCGCCGCCCAGCTCCCACCCTCCTGCGCAGGCGACCACGGGCTACAGGCGCGTGGAGACACGCTACGAGAGCTCGTCGTACGATATGCGCGTGCAGAAAACGGAACTGATGGGCCCTTCGGGCGTGCCAGCGTCGCCGGCCCGGCCTGCCGCGCTCACGTCGCCGCTCTCGGCTGCGTCGCCGGCGTCCCGGAGCACGTCACAAGTGCAGCGGACCACGTCGCTGGAGCGCGCGCAGACGCAGACGGCGGCAGCGCCGCCCGTCGCGTCGCCACGACCCGTGGTGACCTCGCCGCGGCCGGACGTGGCTCCCCGTCAGCCACAGCCGCAGCTCAGAACGCGCACACCGAGCGGCGCGTCCGACGCGCCGCGCGCGTTCTCGCCTCGCGCCACCCCCGAGGGCCTCAGCATGCAGAAGATGTGGTCGACCAAGAGGTCGGAGAAGCTGTCGAAGATCTGGCCGCCGCCGCCGTCGGACGGCGACCGGCCGTCGGCGCCCGTGTGGAGTCAGCAGGACGCTGACCGGGACCGCCCCATGTCCGCCATGAGCTACGGCAGCAACATGGAGGAGCGCGCCTACGAGGCCGGCTACACGTCTGACTTCGCTGGCTACGCGTCTGAGCCGGAGCTGGCGGCGCTGGCCGCTCGCCGGCCTGAGCCCTACATCCAGCAGAAGCCGAAACCGGCGCAGACTCAGCAGAAAGCCGTGTGGCAGCAGCAGAGCAGCATGCGCCAGGTGTCGCAGCAGCAGACGTCGGCGGCGCGGCCGCTGCAGGCGCAGCCGCCGCCGGCCGCCGCGGCGGGCGCCGAGCCGCCGGCGCCGGCGCCATGGACGCCGTCCGGCCCGGCCACGGCCGCCACCTTCCGACCGGTGCAGCGGCCGTCGTCGTCTCCGCAGCGTCATCCGTCGGGCCCATCGGCCGGCGCCGCCCGCACCAGCGTGATGACCACCAGCCGGCAGGAGTTCCACAGCCGGCAGACGCTGCAGCAGACCACGCAGTCGGCCGGGCCGCGAATGCCTAGCCCGGGCCGCGGACAGGCGCCGGGTGGACCGCGGCTGCCCGGCGCCGTCAGCGTCATGCCGCACCAGTCGCCACGCCCAGCCCGGCCCATCCGGCCCAAGTCGCCGCTGGTGCTCAAGGCGACGCCGCCGGCGCGGCCGGCGCCGGCACCGGACGCCGGCGTCCCGTTCCAGCCGTTCCCCGAGCTGGCGCCGTTCCCGTACCGGCCGGAGGAGACGCAGGCGCGGCCGCCGCGCGGCCCGCCGCCGCGCATGCCGTCCAAGTTCCAGAAGGGCGAGATGCGCGAGTCTGACTACGAGAGCGACTACGAGGGTCGCATCCCGGCGCGCTGGCGGCCGGCCGACAGCGGTGACGAGGAGCCGCAGTACCGAGGCGTGCGTGCGCCGCTGCCGTCGGCCTCGCCAAGTCCGGCCGCGCCCGGCGCCGCCGACTCGGACGTGATGGGCATCCCGCTGGCGCGGCCGCCGCCGCCGAAGTCGCCGCCGCGCGCGCCGCGTCGCAGCCCGCCGCCGCGCCGCAGCCCGCCGCCGCGCGCCGAGTACGCCGACTCGGGCTACACGGCGGACGCCGAGAACACGATCCGCCGTCAGCGGGCGTCGCAGTACTCGGAGACGGTCGACCTCTCCTTCCAGTCACAGCGCCCTCTGGCGGACGGCGACGAGCCTCGCTCCGAGTCCCCCCTGTCCGTGTCCAGCGTCCCCGAGCAGGCGGCGGACGTGGCGCCGGCGCCGGCTCGTCGACAGGTTGGCCTTCTCTCTCTGCTCGCTAGGTAGCTATCTGTCCTATCTGTTCCGTTTGCCGACTAACCCGGTGGCTTACACTCGGCTTGGCCGGCCGCGGCCGCTGCTGCCGCCGCCGCGACGCTCCCGGCCCCGGAGGACCGGTGCTGTACGTCCCAGGAGCGTCGCCCTCACGCTGCGTTCGCATGGCTTTCGCCTGGTCCCGTCCCGCGGATATAGCTAGCTTTATGTGCTGCATTACAGAGTGTGTATTTGTGACTCCGCCAACGCGTCATAACAAACAACAGGATATGTTCGTCGTCTTGTGTTGTTAGGTCATGTTTTCGATGTTTGGGAACACTGCATGGGACGAACTGCCGGCTGCTTGAGCCCGCGTGGTGGTTTTGAAGACATGAACACCGCCTTAGCGTACACAGATGTTATCCGTGTTTTTCAGTTTGTTTTTGGTATTTCATTAGTTCAGTCTCTTACCAGTGTCGTCACAACCAGCAGCCGAACAAAATATTTATAAGCATCGGAGATGTTCCAGCTTTTCTTGCGCTTGTCTGACAATGATCGTTCTGCCATTAGCCGAGGATGTCTGTGGCGGGGTCACACCGACAATGGCTTAGTGTCACGAGCATGCGTCTCACCAACACGCACGGGTAGCTCGTGTTCACTGACACGTAGTCATGTGCGTTAACAAACTCGTGACGTTGGTGGCGCTTTGCAGATTTTTAGCATTTTTCGTAACGGAGCAGATACATAATTCTGAATCGCGCGGTGGGTTGGCGTTGGTGTTGATTGCCCTCCTGGAGGCCACAAGGCTGAAAGGTTAGGGATGACCCATTGCTGGGTGTACGCTAATAGCAGTGTTTTGTTTAGCGCCTCTCTTGTGACCAGGGTTTGGAAATGGCATATGCTTTCTTGAAGGTGATTCAGGCGGCCGGCGGTCCGGCGTTGTTCAGCATGCGCTGACCGTGAGCGGACGCTCTCGCTTTCAGGCGGATGAGGAGCCAGGCAGCCGCGCTCATGAGGCGGTTCTAGACAGCGCTGTGTCGTCGCTGGTCGGGCCGACGCCGGGGTGGGGCGAGCCGGCGGCGGCGGGCCGGCCGGCGCCCGCCCTGACCGGGGCCCCGCCGGCGGGCGCGCCGCCGCCGCTGACCGGCCACCGGCGCACCGAGACGAGTCACACCACAAGTCTGCGTTCGGTCACCGAGCAGCGCACGCGGCGCGTCGTCAACCTGGGCGACGTCCTCAGCCCGGACACGACGGTCAAGCCGGAGCCGCAGCTGCAGCCGCAGCCGCAGGCGGCCGTAGCTGGCTGTGACGTGCAGCAGTCGGCAGGCAGCGCGCTGCGCGAGTTCTCTGGCAGCGCTGAGACGGCTGTGGACAGTGGGCGGCCGCAGCCGAGCTATAAACAGGTTAACAGCAGTGAGACGATTGAGAGAGTGAGCCGGCAGCTGCAGCAGTCAGCACAGAGACAACCATCGCCGCCGCGGCAGCTCGTGAAGAAAAGTGTCACCTCCACAGAAAGCATTCACAGGCAGGTCAAAAAGTTTGAAAGCACCACTGAGCGTGCCGTGAAGATTGGCGACGCTCCCATCCTCCCTCAACAGCAAACAGGTGGCACCACAAGCACAACGACGCGAGAAAGTGCCCACAACGGCTTCAACCAGATCCAGACACGCACCGAAGCCGCCAAGCAGCCCGAGCCGGGCCCGGAGCCGGCGCCGTCGACGCAGAGAGGGTCGGTGACCACGACGATGACGTCACAGCTGAGCATGCAGCGCACAACCCTCAGCTCGCAGACGGCGGGCGGCGGCCCGGCGGCCGAGTCGGCGCCGAGCGAGCCGGAGCCGACGCGCGGCCGCGGCCGCGCCCGCACCCGCGCCGTCCAGCCCTCGCCGCCGCGCGCGCCTACCAAGTTCATCCCCGGCGAAATGCGCGAGTCCGACTACGAGAGTGACCTGGAGACACGCATCGTGGCTAAGTGGCAGCCGAGCCCGGAGCGCGGCGCCGGCCAGCCGGGCTACCGGCGCGTGTCGTGCCCGTCGCCGCGCACCGGGCCCGCCTCGCCCGGCCGGCACCGCTCGCGCTCGCCCACGCCTCCCTCGCGCTTCGAGCAGCCGGCGGCAGCGGCGGCGCGCCGGCCGCAGGAGGCCTCGCCGTCTCGCATCCCGCGCTTCTCGCCACAGGCGGCTCGCAAGGGGCTTCCCGGGAAGTCCGTTGAGGAGCCGCCGGCGCGCGCCGGCCTGGCCGCGGCGCCGGAGCCGGGGGCGTGCCGCGAGACGACGCGCACGAGTAGCCACCTCAGCCGGCGCACCACCACCGAGAGGAGGGAGACCACCCGCGCCACTAAGGTACGGGTGCAGCTGGGGTACAGGGTGGGTGCTTAAGGCGGCGAGGTGCGCCGGCCTAAGCACCGGGAGCCGTCTGTGAGGTGAAGTACGTGCGCTTCATTGTATCACGGGATTGTGGTCATCTAAGACTCATACCAGCGATGTGCTCGAGTCAAAGTTTGGCCCATGCTTTGTCTTAGTTAAAAAACTGTCTTGCTTTTGTTTACACGCCATCGGTACATGCTGCAAGCGACGTGGATATATATATATATATATATATATATATATATATATATATATATATATCATGTTCACTGCAGTATTAAAAGTGTTATTTTCCTTTCCAGATTCCTTCGCCTTCTCCTCCACCGACATCTCGCACGCGTCAGCTTGTTCAGCAGCAGCAGCAGCAACAGCAACAGCAACAGCAACAGCAACAGCAGACTCAGCCTCAGACAATACACCACCATGTGCAGCAGGAGCAGAGCGAACAGCAGCCAGCGCGAATCCAACAGGAAAGTCATCACCTTCAGCAAACACACTTCACTCGCATCGAGAGCAGCCGGCAGCTTCAGGAGCAGCAGCAGCGCACACAGATCGAGCGTCCGTATCAGCAACAGCAACAGGAGGCGTGGCTACAAAGCCAACAACCGCAGCTTCAGCAGGAGCAGCAGCAAACGCAGACGCAGCCTCAGAGCCTCTGTCGTCAGCAGCAGCGGAAGGAGGAGACGCGTCTGCAGACGGCACGCGATGAGAGACTGGCGGTCACTGAATCGCACCCTCCCAAGCTGTCAGAAGACCATTCGGCCTCGCGGACAAACCGTACAGGTGACTTCCCGCGCTGACCTGACAGACTGGAGGCCGGAGTTCTCCGGCTTCGTGCGTGGCTTAGCACGAGTGTTTGTTGCTCTGGTTGATATGTTACGATCAATAGACAGACCCATATATATATATATATATATATATATATATATATATATATATATATATATATTATCTCGAAAAAGATAATGTTGCACCCATGGTGGGCAGATGTCTCGTCATTTTTACTCTTTCGTCACTGTTTATTTTGTCGCCCGGGATCTTACTTTGGCATTTGTATCCCAAAACGGCGTCATCTTGCTACGTGCACTCATTTCCCGTGAAGTGTGCCTATCTTTAAGTGTCGCAGTCGTCTAAGCCAGTCTTCATTACCCATGTTAAGAACTCCAGCAGCGCGCCTGCGCCTGATGAAGGTGTGTCTCATCAGTCGCGCTGTGCTTCGCAGAGGCGTTGTCTCAGGAGCTCAGCGACATGAAGCGGACGTTCAACTCTAAAGTGCAGCGACTGTCGGAGGAGGTGCGCTCCGAGATGGGTGGACGGCAGCCAGCAGCTACAGAAGCCAGCCGAACGGCAGCGGATGGTACCCGAACGACTGCGGGTGGTACCCGAACGGCTGCGGATGATACCCGAACGGCAGTAGACGGCCCGGCGCCCGCCACCAACGGACAGACAATGGTCTACCGCAACGAGGACCGTGTCCGAGACTGCAGTAAGTAGTCGAAGGCGTGTAAACGTCTGGGTGATGATGTACATCACTGGGACATTGTGTTGGAGGAATAGGACACAATGCGGTCTTCATTGTTGCCAAGAAGCTCATTCGGCATGGGTGTAGTTTGCGATGTCGAATGACACCAAACTTAAGGACGTATGTTCTGAAGCTTGCTTCGGTTTGCGTTTTATACGCAACAACAGTGTTCTTGAAGCCAAATTACCACTGACATGGGCCGAGCGAGGTGTCTGCAATTCTCGAGGTTCGCCGGGCGATGACGAAGTGCAGCAGCCTTCCGCACCGGGACCGGATCGCGGCCGGTATTGCTGGCATCGGCTCAACGTAAGCGAATTTCGCCCTGTTTTCTCTGGTGCCAGATGAGAGGCCCGGCCCCACACCGGGCCTCGAATGTTGTCGGGCCGACCAGGCTGTGCTGGCTTCGCCGCGAGCCGATGGACATCTGATATCCGTCTCCGGGACGTCAGGGCCGCATGACGGCCGCGACGTTATTTTCTAATGCAACGATAAAAGTGGGTTGTTTGTAATCGGAGGTAACATAGGAGCAGGTTAATCCTGAACGGACTGAATTCTACGTTGGGCCCAGGATGGCTTGCTGCGTTGTGGTTGGCGATGACAAGCTCATTCTGCCGTTAAAATCCCGGGCGTCAGACATCCGTAGGTCGTGCCCAACTGCCGGCTGCTTCGCACGAGAGGCGCAGGGCCAGGTGCATCATCGTGCAAGCGCGCGGAGATGTTCGTCTGTTCGTTCGTTCGTTCGTTCGTTCGAGCTGTTCGTTCGTCAGTCCGCGTGCCGTGACTGCGGCAGTGATAAATTAGAGCGCAGACATGATAACCCCCGCGCAACAATGGCTCAATACGACATTTTATATCGCAAATATCCAAGGTAGGTGCCCTACATCCACCACACGCCACTTTCTATTTATCAGGAGAGGGAGCGGGGCAGGGGTCGGGCCACGGCCACTGTCAACAGTCCACACTGAGTCATCGACCGAATCAACAGCCGAGTGAGCGCGCCGCGCCATTTTAGGTACGAAGCACGTCGACGAAGGCTCAGGTCTGATCTACTTCAAGTACGACTTCGGCTACGAGTTTGGCGTGCTGCAGCCGGGGGCGGCGCGGCCAGCGGCGGCGGCCGCTCCCGCGCGCGAGGCGCCTGGCCTCGAGGTGACCGTGGAGCGGACGCGCGGCGCCACCACGCCCGTGCCGCCGGCTCAGGAGCTCGACGGCGCGCAGTTGGACGACCTGGTGACGGCCGGCCGGCTGCGGCCCGAGAGCGCCTTCGGCACGCGCACGCCGCCCAACGTGCTGGTCAGCTACCCGGTCACGGACGGAGAGCGTTCGGACGGCGAGGAGGTGGCAGGGTCGGCCGGCCGGCGGCGACAGCACCTGCGCAGTCCGGCCGCCGCCGGCGACAGTGAGTGCGGACAGCGGACGGAGGTGGAGCGCTGAGGTCGCCGCTGCACTCACCTGCTTCCCTGCCGCCCTGCGCCACGGGCTGGGAGACGGCGGGATGGAGAAGAGACGGCGTCCCGTCCGCTCTGCATGCTTGTGTGGTGAAGTTTTGCCCATCACTAACATGGCGACGGTGGCTGCGCGCAGAGTTCGTCGCCGGTAACTGATGTCCATGCTGCGTAACATGCTTACGCCCTTGATGTGCATTATTGGTGAGATCGTACGATGTCTGACACTTTGATATTCATTTGTAGTGCGCTGATAAGAAGTGATACCTTTCAAGAAGAAGCATGTTCCCTGTTTATTGGTACGCGCAGGTTTTCGCGTTGGCTTTTAATTGCGGTTGCGTGGGTAGATAGACAAGCGTTTGAAATTTAGTTTGTGAGCTTATGCAACGCAGTTTTGCTCACATTGCTGTGTTTTTGCATGAACTAACGAAGTGTATGCGTGTCGGTGATTTTTTCCGGGTTGCGCTTTTAGTAACGCCGCGCTACGTATTGCGCTTTTTTAGGTGATATTGATTTCGACCGATACCGATGACCGATTATGACCATATTACGTATATGTTTGTTTCTGCATCGATGCGTCTTTGACATAATAAGGAGTCCTTTAAGTTGCGGTTTTCACATATTGTATAGACGTCAAATGTGTTGTCCTTACTAAGACCAGTGGCCTTTAGAACCCAGGTGGAAGCGGTGAGGGGCACGCGTGTGGCTTCACGTCCCCGGTATCTCGTGCAACATATCTCTCCCTTTGATGTACGCCGACCTTGCTGTGATGATCGGGCGGCTGTTTATCCTTCGTTTGTTCACACGCGTCCGAGGCTGCGGCCGCCGAAGCCTGCCGTCGCGGCTGTGGTGACGTTGCTGGCCCTGACCGTTCCCCCTGCGCCTGCGTGGCGCCCGGCTGACCCAAGCGTGTCAAACCCGGTGGTAACCCACCGTTACCACGGCGACACTACCCCTCCCCCCCCCCCACTCCCTTCCCACCTTCCCCGCCTACCGTCTGTCGGCGGACTGACGAGAGCGCGCTCCGCCGACAGCCGACCAGCCGTCGCCGCGCGCGCCCGTGCTGCTGCGCCCCCTCTCCGACGTGTACGTGCACCGCGGCGACAGCATCGAGCTCAAGTGCATGGTGGACGCGCTGCCGGAGCCGCGCGTCACCTGGTACAAGGACAGCCGCGTGGTGGGCGTCGGCGCCGGGCCGCCGTACCGCACCTCCGTCGAGAGCGGCATCTGTCGGCTCAGTGTGCGAGAGGCGTACGCAGGTGAGCTGGCCCAGCTGGTAGCCGTCTGACTGGCCCACTGCGCCCACTGGGCTCGCGATGACTAGGCCGCCTGCTCCCCTCAGAGATTCTCTGGACTCAGTTATCCTCCCTCGTTTCCTAACCCGCTCCAGGATGTGGTCTTGGGGACCGCACCGTGACACATCAAATCAATTGTATGCTTTAGAGAGAATTTATTGATAAAACGTGTGCCTGAGGATCTGTGGTGTCCGGCTCGTTTAGTTTGTACCTTTGGTTACGTCTTAACGGCGCAGCGTTGCACGTCGCATCTCTATCGTAATTTAGTTGATAGATCATCTAACTTCGAGAATATGCCAACATATGTACAGATTTGCGAGCTGTTATCAGTGAGAAAACCCGGCCTGCCTTTCGTCGACGGACCATTTGCGCATGCGTGTTGTTAGTCCGTTGTCTGACCGCGCGCGCGCGCGTTATGCCCGCAGAGGACGCTGGCCTCTTCCGCTGTGTGGCGGCCAACGCTCTGGGTTCGGTGTCGACGGAAGCCCTGGTGTGCGTGGCAGGTGAGAAGTGAGCGCGCCCCGCCGGCGGGTGTTGTCCCGTTCGCCACCGTGCCGGGTCAGGATGGGACGGGGCGGGCAAGCCGCGGTGGACCGGTGTATGAGTCCTGTCGGACCTCCGGCCGGCTGGTCCCCGCGAGTCCCGCCGGTGGTCTCCGTGTGCGGGCGCGGACAGAGGGAGCCAGTGCGCATGCGTGACCGTCAAGCACCGCTTGCTGCTTAAGCTCTGTAGACGACTGCTAGTCAGATTTCCATACGAGGCGCGGATGGGGGTGTACTCTGAGTAGCGCGGTTGATGTGAGGTGCCATCGTTGCCAGACGCGTGTGCGTTACCGACGAGTTTGCTTCGTTGTCGACTTGGCTTCAGCCTGCGGGCAGCTAGTTTACGTTGTACATACATGTGGAATGTTGTGTGTTCACGATACGCACAGCGACTCTAGGCCTCTGTGTCACTCTGCACCTGTGACGTTTGTGTCGGTCTGCAAGATCTGTAGCCCACGTGGCATCGGCTGGACCCAGTATCTGCACTGGCATTGTCTCGCCGCACTTTTTCTCCCTGGCGATCGGCTTCAGTCTGCGTCTTACTCGAATCAGCGTTTGGGCAGCGTGTCTGTCCTTACTAATGCAATCAGCAACTCCCGGAAGCAATGATGCTACTGATGTTGTGGTCGTGTTGTTAGCAATACATGATAAAATGGACGCGGCGTATGCTGAAATCTTCAGTTCGTCACTCTACCGGTGCAACATACTTGTTAGAACTACACCGAGCTCGTCTGCGGTGGTTAAATATTTGACGTGTTTTCATAATTTAAAGCTATCTTGCAAGGACCCTGTGCTTTTGTTTGATTTATGGTTGGCTTAACATGCATGGCATAGATTATACGCGGTAATATGGTAGTGTTTGATGGATGAATGCATCGTTCATTTTTAAGCTATTTAGTCATAACCAACAGTGTGGGTACCCAAGGAAAATATTTGAAAGATTGCCGCTTACATCATGCATCTACTCCTGGTTTTGCATGCTTTGTTTGCACTCCCAATACCAAGTGAAGTCATGTCTTGTTTTGCATGAACAACGTTGTATGTTATGCATTGATGAACTTCGACCGACTGCACAGGTAAGTGACCGTTGTTTGCAAAACTTGCTAGCTTTCCATGTTTGTACACGGTACCTTGGCCCCTGGTGTCGCTGATGGGGAAGGAGAGGATCTGACTCGCGGAGCTTTTTGATGTGCCCTACGCGCTGGCGCCAGCGAGGGTCCTGTGGGTTGGCGACTTGGCCTTCCAAATTAACGGGACCGGTTCCCCTGTCTCGGTTCGATTCCTCCTTCATCGGCTTACCCTGCCTCGCTTCAGATCCTGACGACGCCTCTGCCTCGTTTCTACCTCGACCTCTTTCAATGAACAGAGTCTTGAGCCCTCGACAATGCCCGTTGGCATGCTGGTCCAGAGAGATCGTGTTTTGTCTACAGGTGGGTAGTTGAGGGGTCCAAGGGATTGCCTGCCCACCGGGTGAAATGCATGGATCGGTGGGCTCCGAGCCATTCTACCTCGTCCGTCATCAGCACCTGACGGCGTGAACAGCAGGGTGTGCGGGCAGCTCGCGTGTGGCTTTGGTGCACTTTGTGTTCCATCATCCAAGCCACGTTCGGAGTGGAATGCGGAAATCAACGACCGGCGTCATAAGTAAACTGCTGTGTGCTTCCAAACGAAGAAAGGTAACGATCAAATGAAAGCGAGACGACTGGCGTTCTTTGTCACGTTGATGACAGCTGAAGGCGAGTCGTTGGTCGACACGCTGTTTGAGTCGTGAGCTACGACTCCTTCCGCTTCTGCCCATGGTGATGTCTGGGTAGATGACAAGTGGTCGTCGATGTTGGACACCAGTGGTTTGCCCGCTCGAGTCGATGCAAAAACGGTTGAGCGTTCTCAGGTTCTTACGTTTTGATCGCAAATCTCAGAGCATCATTTGGATTCACTACGCGGATGCTCAGCGGTAATTATTTTGTCATGCGCCCTCGAAATGATGGAGATAATATTGAAACCCTAAACCAATGAACAAGTCTATCGATGTTGGCTTACATAATGGTCCGACGTGGAAGGTTTATTTTGGCGCCACAGCGCTGAAATAAACTGGCTCCCCATAACGCCGTAGCTCCCTCATCTGTGCGTCTAATTCACGCTACAAAGGGGTTTTCAACAGGGGCGCAGCCAGCGTATTCCTAAAGGATGAACCCCGAGCCCGGCGAGTATGCATCACACCGAGATGATAATAAACGACACAACGTAGGCTCAAGCGCTGCCTGGGTCCATCGATGTTAAAAAAAAACTAGAAATCCGGGCGTGTGGAAGGTACCCGAGTACCTCGGAGCCCTTCCTTGGATGCGCCCTTGATAACCAAACGCGTCGGCATACCAGCCATGCCTCTGACGTGCGGGATAGCCTAACACCCAGGTGCGCGCTGCGTGGGTCAGTCTACCAGCCAGGCAGCGCTATACGGGCGATCCTGCCAGCCAGGCAGCGCTATAGCGGCGATCCTACCAGCCAGGCAGCGCCATATGGACAAGCCTACCAGCCAGGCAGCGCTATACGGGCGAGCCTACCGACCAGGCAGCGCTATACGGGCGAGCTTACCGACCAGGCAGCGCTATACGGGCGAGCCTACCGACCAGGCAGCGCTATACGGGCGAGCCTACCGACCAGGCAGCGCTATACGGGCGAGCTTACCGACCAGGCAGCGCTATGCGAGCGAGCCTACCAGCCAGGCAGCGCAGTGCGGGCGAGCCTGCCAGCCAAATTGCGCTTTACGGGTCGGCCTACCAGCCAGGCGGAGCTATCGTGGGTAGCTGTAGCGCAGCAGCGGGGAATAGAGAGGCTGTACTAGAGACGGAGGGCGAACGATAGCTGACTACCCAGGAGCCCTTAGAGTGACACAACTGATAGTGCCACTAGTGCCACAACTGGTCCTAATGCGCAGATAACCGAAGTGACGGATAATCCGGGGCAACGTTGTACTAATTTGTCATGTTATTGGCCCTCGGATGTGCTGAGCATTCGCTACCCCCGCAAAAGCCCTAAGCCATTCGTAATAGCTTATAGCTATATAATAGCTATAAGCTGATCGTGATTGAAGTAGGTTTCGAACAATGAGCTTGGTGTCATTCACTACTATTTTATGGAAAACGAATAGACACTAATTAATTAGATCATGTCCTATTGGGATTTCCGAAAATATGACAAAGGCTAGAATACTGGAGGCATTTGGCTTTCGTGGAAATTGACACCCCATCTCGAATGAATATCGGGTCAGGGAAATACATGTTGATCACCATTCACTCATATAGCTTGCGTTACAGACAAATGGTAGGGTAATTGGTAGACGAGAGAGTGGGGGAGGTCATGTAAATTGCTGCCATCAGGGCAGCTGCGAGATACATGACATATACATAAGAACATTTCCGAGAAGTGCATGAGCATATTGCGGTGAGCGTGCAGTTTTCCGGCCAGTACAAGCAGTTTTGATCTGAACAGCCTGGAACTACTCCTATGAAATAGAAGTCATGTTGTGCCTTGTTCGAAAGTGCACTGTACCATTAATACAGGCAAACCTCCTGTTGTTCAAACTCAGCATCAACCAAATAGGGATCAAAAATCAAATTCATTATCGTAGGCATAAGGTCTATGCCTAAATGGTGATTAAAAAGTAACTAGCAATTAAGTTTAGGCAGCATATCTCGCGACCGGGAAGATGTGAGGCAGCAAAATACGCATCATTTCATAATGCGAAACTTTGTCTTTAAAATGCATATAGCTACACTCAGTTTTCGCGCGAAATGTGGTTGTCCTAGCTTTTGAAGCAGTGTTTAATGAGATTTCACGTATATCTCAATTACTGCTTAAAAATGGCGATGTTTGGTAGTTCTTCATTTTGACACGCAAAACGTACTCCTTTTAGCTTTGAGAAATTCATATATTACGTGATGGGCTTAAAAATAATTACCGAAAAGTACGTTTGTGAGGCCATGCATGTTCAAAGCGACCACTGAGGTTGGCAACGCATGTCTCGAGGCGCTTGTTATGTCAGATGTCATGTCAGATGTCATGTCAGATGTCATGTCAGATGTCAGTCACGACCTGCCATTCGCCTATCGCGTAATATATGAATTTCTCAAAGCTAAAACGCACGGATTTTCAACAGCTTGACAAGCATCCTTGAGAGCGGACACTTATCTTCACCCTTTCCAGTAAGTATCCTGAGAGCATCATAAAGACTCAAGAGAACACTTTTCGTAGCGAACACACTTCAAGGAGGGAACTGAATGACACGAAATGCTGTAGTAAAAGGGCTCGTCCATGTGAAGGGCCTTTCAATGCCACAGGGCTTGTCAGTATACATACATTACTGAGGCCGCATATTTTTGCGCATGTCTTAAAAGCTTAAAAAGTTTGGCTTGACAATGGCACAATGTGATTCGATGGCATCCAGAGTCGGGCTTGAGCCCATAAAAATGCGCATAACAAATCTGTCAACGTGCATATGCCCTGTTCCATGTCGCGCTTTGTTGCCTCGTTCATAATGTGCTCGCTGTCAGAACCTGGGAAAACCAGCATGGTACGATGTTGACGATAGACAACGTTAGACATGCATCTAGTCGGTGTTAAGTGAATGATCTGCACCAAAGGCTTCCGCTTTCTTCGTACGGTCATGGACAAACACCCTTCGGAATCGCGTATCCTCATTAGAATCACTGCCATTAACTCATTCAATGAAAATGATTTGCCACCAAACGATTTTTAGACAAATGGGTGAAATGGCTTCTGATGACAGATGGGCGCGATACGACTACTGTCTTCTACCTACCGATTAGGCAAGCAGATTCTTCCCCTCTACGTACGACTCCTCTCCTCTACCTACCGATGTCCCATGTATCCTGTGTTAAGTCACGTTAATCTCACATTTTCACTGTTTCAAGCAGCAGAAAAGAAAAGAAAAGTCGTGTGGCCCTATAGAACACAGATGTGGTTCTCTTCACGTGTATCACGTCATGGTACATTTGTTCTCGTGTCCGGCTAGGTGTGCCGTGATTTAGGCACAGCCGCACGCATTTGCACGCGGTCATGTGTTTGGACTCGGGTCTTTGTGCTGTAAACCTGCAATATGTCGTGTGTCAGAGCTGGATAATATCGAATGCATTTAAATCTCCATGCACGTGATCTCCACCAGGATGCTCTTTTAATTACCTAGTTCGTTTCGCAGCTGAAATTTCCAAACTTAATTAGTATTTCGTAATAAATGATGTTTTTGCCACCAAACCGTTCCCGCATACACTTTGGCACTAATAGTTCTGTATTGTTCCGAGGGGTGTCGCTAGGGTCTGTGACGAGAAACGTGTCTGATGCGGTGCATTCTTTCGCCGCCGGCATATTTATTTTTACCTCAGTTCGTGTTTTGGTTGTGGCCAGTGCCAGATGGCTGCATGTGTTGGCGGCCGCCGCTCCGGCTGGCCCGCCGGGTCCCCACTGGCGCCCCTGAGTCACCTCGGCGCTACCGGCACCCGTCTCCGACCCCGACATGACACCAGCTGACTCACCTCAGGGCCCATCCGACCTCCGTCCTCATTCTCTCTCCATCCTGCATCTCTGCGACGACCCGTTTGTCCGTGGCAGGCAACATGCACCAGCTAGGAGCGAGCTTAAGT